ATACTTCAGGTGAAGTAGACCTCATGGAGAACTTTGTAAGTGATGGGGAACTCTTAGCTATTTCTGACATTGAGTCTAAATCGGAAGATGATTGGATTCTTGATTCAGCATGTGTGTTTCATATGTGTCCTAATAAGGACTTGTTTGCTACATATGAAACTATTTTCAAATGTGTCGTGGTTATGGGAAATGACGCATCTTGTCGTTTGTTGGAATTGGCACAATCAGATTGAAGATTTTGGATGGGACAATTAGAACACTTAGATAGGTTCGACATGTTCCAGATTTATAGAAAAATCTCATCTCGTTGTCTATCCTTGAATCAAAAGGTTATGAGTTCTTTGGTGGAGGTGGAACTTTGAAAGTTTGTATTGGAGGGACATAAAAGGTCTCGATTATACATCTTGCAGGGTCATGCAGAATTTAGAAGAGTCAATCAGCACAAATTCAGAACCATGGTGGACATTCAGTTTGGTATAATACATTTAGGAGCTCATAAATGATCGAATTTGAAGAATACAATTCAGTGAAGTTCAGGAGATATGGATAATGCTGCTTTGCCACCAACACGCGGGGTGCTATTGTATTCAATTGTTAGGGACGGACCCAATGAAAAATGGTATGTGAATGCTGATTTTGTTGAGCATGTTTTAAGTGGAGTAGAAGATTTACAATCTAGCAAAGAGCCTTTTGTAAAAGCATTTGGTATTGATTCTGCTTTGGGGTGTGTTACAACCCATTTTAGTAAATTATAAAATCATTATGATTTTTTGGAATTTGAGTGAATTTTGCAGAGTAGTGCTTGGATTCATTGGAGGATGTGAAGTATTTTGTATTTGGTTGGATAAATTAATTTTTTGGTTATTGTTGAAGAAATTAGTTCATTCATTGGTGGAGATTGTTAGAATTTGAGTGTGACCCGAATTCCTTGTTGAAATAATTGAAGAATTTTAATTGAAGTGCACGTCATGAAGAATTCAAATTTAAAATATTATTGGAGTCCTATGTCATGCTGAAGTTCTATTTTGGAAGCCCATTGTGAGTTGAAATTTGTTTTGGACTCAATTTTATAGTATCCCACTTCATCAATAACTCTACTAGGTGGGTTTGGACATACCCTACTTATTCTCTATAAATACTAGGTTCTTCTATAATATTTTATGGTGTAAGAAAATAGATTACTGGAATTATAGGATTTATTGTAATTTTTTCTCTTCTCCATTACTCTTGAGTCAATAAAATCTCTTAATTCATCTACCATATTCTTGTCTTCTTTATTCTTTTACTTNTTCTTGAGTCGATAAAACCTCTTAATTCTATTACCATATTCTTGTCTTTATTATTCTTTTGTTTGATCATATTTTTCATTATTATTTACCATATAATTTCAACATCTCAATCATGTGGTTTATTCAACAACAGTTCTAAATTGAAGTAGAAGGCATTACTACCTGCCGTGATCAATACACGGAGGAAGCCGAATGGGGATTTTCAAGGATCTTCTACCTTTGCGATGAAGATGGATTATTCTATTTTAATGTCTTGTAATTTTCTTTTATATTATTTGCTGTTTAGTACTTTTTATATTTTTCTAAGAAGCTTAGGGACTAAGTTAGCATATTTTACTAGATGGGTTTTCAGGTTTTATATGCAGCCGCCAAGCACATTTGGGATGTAATTGTTTTCACGTAATTTTAATAAAATGAGTTTTCTCCAATTTCTATTTAAATTCTAGGTTATGAGGGAGCTATCTTAGATTAACTTCCCTTGAAGTTCTTTTAGTCAGGCAATAAAGTTTCAAAAAATAATCTTTGCAGTTTCTTAGTATAAATTTTTTATCTACTTTGGAAGCTAGAACGAACACATTATTCACAAGAATAAAACACATTGGTAGGTTTCTCTACAATGAAATTTCTACATTTTAAAAATTTTTAATTCACAAGAATAACTAATTCATATAACACCAAAATTTTATTTTTTTAATAAATTTACTACAAATTTGCATCCGATTTATTTTCTTAGGAAACTTTAATCGAAAGTAGGAACAAAAAGTAGAAACGAAATTAATTCTGTAGGAAATAATATAGAGATTTGCAAATGGAAACAATGGCAATTTCGTTGGCAATTCTATCAAACTTAAATTATCGCTAAAATCATTGCCGATAGCTGTCATAAAAAATTGTCGATATTTTAGAAGATATATATGTAGGTAAAACCTTCGATAATCACCTACGATTATGTTACCGTAAAAAAAAATTATCGGTGGGACTTTTACCTTCGTATGTATCGACGAAAAAATTCTATCAGTAAGTAGGATTATTGATGGAATATCGTCCCTTAATGACGAGAATATCTATCGTTGAAACCGTTATTTCTAGTAGTGAACTGAAAATCAAGATCGCCATCAACATGTATTCACAAGATTATTCGTTAAAGCTCGAGTTCAAAACTTAAATGCATATGATGTGACCTTTTGAAAACCCGCAAATGCACGAGATCGTGATCAAATAATATAATGGTGAATTAAGTGTCAAACCCACAAAGACTACATGTTTGATTGAGTTAAAGTGAATAATACCCTTAATCGAATGACAATAATGAGTTGTAATTAATCTATGTCTAATTTATCACGTAACTAGAAATCAAAGTAAAATTTTATCAAATTTGTGAAATGCATTGTTAAGATGTAGAATCCCTCTCGTTCTTCCATTTTAATCCAACAAGTAAAATGACGCATTGTTATCATGCGAGTTGGTCAATGTTCCCAATTTATTTAAAGACTTCTCTCGATAGCAGTTAAATCTAATCCAACATATGATCTTTCTATATCTTTATGAAAGATACCAACACACAAGAAATCATTAAACGAGCTGGAACACATATAGGAACCATGTGAAGCATATATGCATATCTCTATCCTCTATCGAACCTCACAATACTTATTACTACGTGCTAATGATCTTATTATCTCTCTCGATGACAATAAAACCGATAAACAATTTAACTAATGATCAATTAATTGAAAAACAAGCTAAACCATAATAAACATCCAAACATTCAAACAAATTAACGTCGAGCTAATTATTCAAATAAAAAATCTCATAAAAAGGGTTCATCTCATCCTAGCAATGTAAAAATCTAGCCCAGCATACTGAAATTACAAGAAATCATTCTAAGTTTAATAAACATCACTCGAAAATCGAATAATTAAGGAGAAATCTTGAATTCTTGAATGACTTCGATGGATTTTTGATATCTTTTGAATTATCCTCCCAATCCTAGTGCCAATTTTTCGGTATGAATTATAAATGATAATCTTCTTGTAATTCCAATGGATTTCTCTAAGAATCATGATGTTCTTGAGTTGTTTTTGTCTAAGT